TTCTTTAAAATCATTAGTATAGCAGTAAAAGCTCTCTTTAATTATGACTTATAATGTAGAGTTACTTACGTATACACAAAAACACCCTAAACCTGTTTAGTGTGGTCATGCAAGAGCTACTGCTGTTACAGGATTAGGCAGGCTCACCTGGGAGAGTACCACAGCCGGACAGAAGACCGACGTGAAGTGGAAATTATTAAAATTTCGCGTTTCGTTTGATTAGCGAGGTAACCGGGGCCCACTGTTAAAGGTTAACAACGCATATTCAATCTATCAGGTGTTGACTCCATAGGTAGTCGGTACTGATTTAAAATCAGGTGAACCACCTTCTCAATTTTTCATATGCCGTATAAAAAAAGCCGAATGGGATAGGGTATAGGTTTTTGACCCGTCACTGACAACATTATTGATTAACAAGACGATAGAGGCAGAATTAGCAAAAAAAATATTTTCATCAATTTTGAGACAACTGAAAGCTTTAAAACCACTTCACTTATGAAAATATTTATTAAAGGTAAATCGCGTGGACTTGCTTTTTCATTACACACTCGTATACCTACAAAGTTTCCAAAAATTCTGAAATTTTGTCTATGTATGACATCACTTAGACAAATATTAAGGTAACTAAACTGTTAGTCCATTGTAAGGCAATCGAACCCATCTTAAGATAATACGTGAAGCAGTGGCAATACACGAACGGTAACGCCATGCTTTCGTAACACCAAACGCCATTAACTGTAAATGGTACGGCGCATTCTCGGAAGATCGCATCGGCTCGGCTCGGCTGGGGGCCGCCGGTGAAAGTGGCATTGAATTTCGCTGCAAACTCACCAATGTTACACAGTACCGAGGTCAAGGAACAGGTTCCGTTGTCATTATTTACATTTCTTTCAGTGGAAGTAAAAGTTCGCGCGGGAGCAAGATGAGCTGAGGGCACTCATTTCGAGTGACGTCTTTGATTTGTTATTCGTTTCGTAGTTTCGTCGTTTTTATATTTACTTTCTTCTTAACTAGTCGTTGTTTGTTTCGAACTTAACTTTCCTATCCGTTTAATACTTAACCGTGAACATTTTTCGTTTCGCCGATGGTCAGCACTTCTCAATGTTAAGTGAAAGTCTGAATACGAAGACGAAGGGTTTAAAAATGATTATCAGTTTGATTCTGTTATATTACGATACCTTAGTGTACATAATGATTTTTTTTACTTACGGTATTCTGCAAATATTTAAGTAAAAGTAATTTTATGGATTTAATCATGTTTTATGTCAATTTCAAATTAAATAAGCCCGGGTAACTTTTATATTAGGAATTTAGGACGTAAATGAACTAAGCCGGGCCTGGGACCATGAATGCTGTAGTGTTTGAAAGTCAGGAATTTGGAATCATATTAAAATGAGATAATATCCCTATAACAGTTTCATTTATACATAACTAGTTTGCGGTTCACGAGCTGGCGGTTGACCTGATGTTAAGTGATAACCGCCGCCCATGCAAATTTCCGTCACCAGTAGGGTTGCAGATGTGTTACTTACGTTTTCCAAGATAAATAAATGTATTGAACCGACTCATGCATACATCAATAAGTATCATAACAATGCAGCGAAACTAACCATTACTTTCTATTCAAGACGTCAGGAAGAAGGTGTTGTAAACGTGTGATATATAAAATAGACGCACTTTTATTCTCGAACTTTCTCGTTTCATTACTGTTTAAAAGCGCTTTGTGACATGTAAATGCAATTTAACGCAAATTGTTAAGAAAGTTACAAGTTGTGATTTAGGAAATGATATTGTTCATCTCCTTCCTATATATAATTATGTTTATTTATATATTATGTAAAATATGTTTAATTTTTGTTTAGTTCTAGTTTCGACTTACTCGATGATTGATGGGATTTATTGTAGTTAAATTGTCGAAAAATTTTCGGGGCTGCGGAATCCGAACCTACGTCTTCCGGGTAACTAAATGAACATGTGATCATATATCATTCAAAACTTCTTAAATAAGAGGTTGAGTTTAGTTAACAGACCATAAATTTCGGTTTGGGCCAAAACTTTACTGAGTTAAAGATTTAGAAAACAACACTAAAACACTAGACTTCAGTGTCAGTCGCAACTATAACCGGGCGACGGCTTAGGGTGAAAATCGTGTTTCGATTTAATATAATTCGTTAATTTAAATTTGCTTTAATTGTTTTGATCTTCAGACAGATTAGTAATTCAACAGCATTTTTTAAATTCAGATATGTATACAACACAGAGATTTCCCGGACAAACTTTGCCAAATTACCGATAAAAAATGTCAATATGTTCTTTTGAACTCTGTTGTTTCACGTCGAAAGTTTATAAAAGTACAATAACATGAGATCATTGTACGAGCGCTGGAAGTTAGTTAACGTAAATTCAGTAAATTTGGGACAATGCAAGGCGAAATATGATGCTATACCAACGGGTTATCGAAAAGTTACGAGATATTTTATTTGGCTAGGTGACCTAAACTCTAAACTGACTAATAGATTTTTAATTAATATTATAAGTGTTGTGAGAAATTGCTTTAATAAAAATATATCATTAGACAGAATAAGCAGTTTCGGTTTTCACAACGTTATATTATTATTTCTTTTAGATACGTAAATAAAGTTGCGACAACCGAAGAGATGTTTAGTACATACGAGTTCTACTAAACAGCGTAGCACGACAAAACTCTTTCCAAATGTTTTTTTAAAACGCAAACGTTCTCGTATAATAAAAACAAAATATTGTCATTTTCGTTTGACATGCTTAATGTTTCTTTGTCTATCATAAAAATAATTTGTTTATTCATTGAAAACCGCCAAAAAAGAAAAGAAGAAGAAAATAATTTGTTTACTGTCTGACATAAATGGGTGAGTATTTTAATACAGTATTTTTAGATTTTCTACATGTATAAGATATACGATATAACAGCATTGCTTTTAAGACACAACGTAACAAAAAAGCAGTCGATTTACCTGATAGTATAGGATCCCGATATAAGACGACCTTCACCGAGCTGGTTAATGGATGAAACGTTTTTTGGTAAATATTCCGAACAGTACGTCTCGTTTTTCAAGCTAGAAAAAAATTTTAATCGATAGAGAAATGTTAATAATTATATATTACATACGTGAAAACCAAGGCAAACACTTACTTTTAATAAAAAAAAATATTTAAAACTTGTTATTTTCACTAAATAAATCCGCCATTTTGTGTTTGACAACATGTATAAATTTAAGAATTCACTCACTTTTCCAAATTATAACCTTCGCATTATTAAAAAAGAGTCTTTAAAAATACTAAAAGTACTGTTACACTAAACTTTAGTGTAACAGTACTTTTAGTATTTTTAATTTCTGGGTGGTCATAAAAAAAAAACCTTACATCGAAGGCTAAATCGCCTTAACCTTCTAACCTAACCTATCCGAGTCGGATCGCTCTGTGTCGGATCTGTGACTCATTTTGAACCTAATATTCGAGACATTAAGTGTACCCTAAGTCACAAATTTTAAATATTAGAAATTGTTAATAATACATGTTCATGATGTAGAAACTTGTGTTTTTGTGATATATCCGTGTATTTGTGACTTCTTACAACGTAAAAAGTGAAAACGTAAGTTTTTAACTTAAAATAATAGTCTATAATGAATAATGGACGCACAGTAATGACGGATTTCAGTTGTATGAAATTTAAAAACTTTGTTAATTTTTTCCTCATAATCTAGTGGTTTTCATTGATTATAACTTATATAATATTTAATTATTAACATTTCTCTATCGATTAAAATTTTTTTCTAGCTTGAAAAACGAGACGTACTATTCGGAATATTAGCCCGTATTTTATATTCAATTTAATATGTCAATAAATGATCTATCAATGTGGGTTGTCTAAAAAATTTCAGTCCAGGACATGATAAAAATTAAAATAAAATTAATTAAAATAATACATTTTTAAAAAATTTCACCGGTTTGGTTAATAGACAAATTCCATACCAATCGAAGATATGAAGCCAATTATAAAAAAAAATTTAATAAAAAATATTCAGCATTTCTATAAATAAAAGCAATAAAAAAAACTTCAGCTCAGAGTTCTTACTCGCAAGTTCGAGTGTTCACTTGTTTAGAACCGAACAGTGTTTTATAGTATGGCAAGATACTCGTTTTATTACTAAGTACCTGGAGGACCAAGCTAAGGAGCTAAGGACCGACAAAAAATAACAGATAAAGAAAGCAATGATCTGAAATCGAAAAAAAAGTTAAAAAAATAAGTGTGTAAATGATCGTGATACGAACCACGGCCTTCTATTTCGTGGCTGAGTGTTAGCGGCCGCCCGATTACCGACCGAGCTATTATAACATTTTTTTTTCGGTGAAATTTACCGTCGTATTCGAATATTATTTTTCATTTCCTGAAAAGTGGGATAAAACGACATTTTCTAAAAATGAAACCTAGTCAGATCGATTTTTCGCCCCCGAATCTACGCAAATACTAAATTTCATGAAAATAGCTGGAGCCGTTTCCGTTTCCGATTCCAATTATATATATATATATACAAGAATTGCTCGTTTAAAGGATTAAAGAATATGGTGGTCTGAAATTGATGTAGCAGTATTGCTATTGAGTGTATCGCCGCTTATGATCCTACCCCACATTTTGGTGACTCCGTGGCGCAGTCGTCAAGGTATTTGCTTCGGCGTCGGGGGTCGCGGGTTCGATTCCACCACGGTACAACTATTTTTTGTGACCCACAGATAGTTGTTTCGCATATGGGTGTTTGTCCACGTGAAATTTATGTATGTAAAACGTCCTTACAAAACAGGATAATGCTATCCTAAAGTCAGGGCTATGTTTTAAAAAAAAAAAAAAATATGAAAAGATACTTTCCATGAGAAAAACTTCACAGAGAAATTCAAATAAAGTTTCCGCTTATTTAAATTTACTAACTGCCTGTTGTTTTTATTCACAGTTAAAAACAGCGTGAAGAATGACATCGTTTCAAGTTAGAAGTACATTGCATTTGAAACCCACCGATACCCACACCACGACATACTGCAAAAGGAGAGATTACGAGTAAGTATTGTTAAAAAGGAAACTTTAGAAGTAAATGAAATTTATGAACCGAGAACATCTGAAATTGCCGGTCTTGAAACCGTTCTTAAATTCGTTCTGCTGTATGTGCAAGTTAGTATGTGTCCTGTCGTGATAAAAAAATTGAAAAAGTGCCTTTTTTGTACACCAGCAAGCAAGCTATAATTTAATCAAACAATAAATTTGATGAATTCTTGTACAAAGAAGACACAGAAAGAAGAAATAAGGTCTTACAGGCACAAACGTGATGTATAACTTTGATTTGATTTCTAAAAGCGTTTTATTTGGAAAAGTCGTATGAGTTTACTAACTTCATTTGTTTTAAAGCTATTATACAGATAGAGCTAGACAAAGAAATACGCACGATTTTTTTACATACGTACAAACTTAGCAACAAAGCTATTGTGTAGAACTTTTTGATTTATGTATGTTTAATTTGTTATAATTTGTAAGCCTTGCTATCTTAGTGGTCATGCGCTGTCTTTAAATTTAATATATCGAGCTGAATGAGTTGAAATTACGGTGCCACCATGAATAAAATTGTTGGTTGCATTTTAATATGCTGACTTATCACTGCTGAGCGGTGAAGGAAAATATTATGAGACGATGCGTATTTTCGAAAAAAAATAAAAAAATATGTGAGTGATATGAAGTTTGCCATTTCGTGTTTAATTTGCGTCGATATATCGATTGCGTCAATTTTTTGTGAGCTTCAATTTTAAATCAGATCTATTTATCGTGCGATTGACCGACGGTTGAGAATTTCAGTTGATACGTACTGAACATGTCTAGTCTAGTTTTGTACAGTTTCTTTCATTATAACTAAAGAAATTAGCACTCGAAAATTGGGATGAACAAAAATCTTGTGAAATAGTTGATGCAAACAGATACGGCAGTGACAAAAGCGACGATGTTACTAATCGTGGAGATTTACTAAGTACCTGTTTATTTTCAGATGGCAAATAGTATGGAGAAACGTCTTGGCTTTCGTTTATTTGCACGCCGCCTCATTGTACGGCGTTTACCTCATAGTGTCCTTCAAATCGAAAATATTGACGCTGCTGTTTGGTGAGTGAGCAAGCTGGTTCGCATGTGTTGCGCCAAATTCGGAATCGACGGCATTGGCTTGGCTATCGTTCGGATTAATTATCACCTTCTAGGTGACGAAAATTTCGCGAATTTAGTGGCATGATTCTGACTGGGTGGATAAGGATTGTGTAACATCCAGTCTAAGCATTCTTTTTTAAATCCTTACAATATTTATTATGTGAAAAGTTGATCTCACAATATCAAACCCAGGATATGTAACAACGAGCAATCTTGTCACCGCTTAGTGTGATGATCTAGTCTTCGTACATAACATAAATGTTTATATAATATATAATTAATATAGTGAGAAGTGCTGAAGCCGAAATTGACAGTCGGCATGAATTGATCATCTTAGCATTAAATAATTTGGTTTGCATGTGATTAATTACAATCCAATCATGCTTCGGTTGTATTAGAAGTGAGACTTAAACTAGCGATCCAAAAAATCTGTTGCGTTTTTACTACGCAGGTGCAGCTAAAATTATTTTGATGTTTATGTTTTAATTTATCGACAGTAAGAGTCATAGTAATATCTATGAGTATCAGATTAGCAAATATTCATATTGTGATTTTCAAGAGTTTAAAAATAATTCGATGAAATGTGAAGTCCAATCCGCAGTGGGGCCGCTTGGTGGACTATGCCCTAATACCCTCTGTACAGAGGAGGCCTCTGCCCCGCATTGGAATATGTATAGGTTGTTACTTTACTTTTACTTCTTTAACTATGGGTGTATAAAAGGACTTATGGATATAATAAACTTCGTTTTCAGCCTGCTGTTTCGCAGCGTTGTCCGCGATGGGCGTCACAGCTGGCGCGCACAGGCTGTGGGCACACAGAGCCTACAAGGCACGATGGCCGCTCAGGCTCTTCTTAGCGGTCATGCAAACAATGGCCTTCCAGAACCACATATACGAATGGGTGCGCGATCACAGGTATATGTCTTGTGAGCTTTTAAGTTTGCTGCTAAGGCGACCAGTGCTGACAAGGTCGTGGAAGTGTGCGAAAGAGTTCCCGTGGCCCTATCGATATGTCTGAGTGGAACATCGTAGGTATATGTTTTGTAAAACTCAATTTTTTTTTATATAAATTGCTAGCTAAAAGAAATATTCTACTCCAACAACCAGGCGTTCCTTAATTTCTGTAGGCGTCAGAAATGCGCAGTAATTTTCCTTTGCTTAATGCAACAGATCTTCTCTTTTCTGCTTTTATACCATCTAGGCACAACTAGTGAACAATGTTAATGACAATGCGACCGCTGGGAATAATTTCCTCGCGGAGATCAGTGACACGAATAATTAAGATCGAATGGCTATTTGCGTTAATTAAAGTAAAAGCAAAAGCAAGTTTATGGCTCTGGTGCTTATATAAGGCACCAGCTACGGCTGAAAGCACTTGAATGTTACTTGTGGATATATGCAAATTTCCATTTAGTTTTGATATTAATTTAGATAATTCATCATCATCATTTATCTCATCTCATAAAATTTTATAGCTTTCATAAATTTGCGCAGCAATTACTATTCATAAACCATTTTTATACTCGACGCGTTGGATAAAAATTGCGCCGGGCCTTATATTCAACCCATTCTCATAATTTTTGAATAAGCTCGCGTCTATTTAAAACTGCTTTAGTAAAATGTAATAATATCGGGCTTTTGTAGGTTATGGAAGATTACGTTTTGGTAGTTTTGTTGCTGATAGAGAAATATAATTTGGATATGTTAGTTGTAAAAATAAATATTACATTTATATTTACAAAGAACAAATAGGTAGAATATCTTAATTCAACTGATACACAATTGAATACAATATACAATGTAGTTTACGTTAGCGAAGCTGGAATAAAATTGGTAAAATTTCATACAACATTTTTGTATACACTTAGAATTATATGTGAGCTTGTTTACAAACGTGCTCAGTAAAAGTATTCCCACATCATTTTGTACGCATTATATGTCAATTAGTCAAAGCAAAGTGGAGGAAGAGGTGTTTTTTTGAAAAATCATGTATTTTGGAAATTACATGTAGATATAGATACAAATTACTGAGTAATCAAATAAGATTAAATTTTTTATCGATCTTACCGACGTAATAATAAGAAAATATGAACTGGTGGTTTTCACATAAGAAAGAACTTTAAAAAAAAGGAAAAAAATAAAAAAATCACCTGGATTGACAAAAAATAAAGAAAGCAATTAAATTAATGTGTAAATGATCGTGACACAAACCACGGCCTTCTGTTTCGATTACCGACCGAGCTATTATGATTGACATTTTTTCAGTGAAATTTACCGATAGATAGATATAGATAGATTTTTAACCGATAGATATTTTTCATTCCCTGAAAACTGGGATAAAACGACATTTTCTAAAAATGAAACCTAGCCAGACCGATTTTTCGCCTCCGAATCTACGCACATACTAAATTTCATAACTTCAATAATGTTAATAGGGTTGCTTAGAAAAGGAATTATTTCTACACTACACTCAAATTCAAATAAAAACGATAAATCATAAAATGTTAAGCTCTTTAATATAATAAAAATATTACTTTTATTGCATAGAATAGTGTCTTTGTGTGTTTAAGATATTTTACTATCTGTCAATTTCGTAAGTCATATTAAGTTTCATGCTGAAAACTTAAGTTAGATGTATATATAGCAGGCAAGTCAAATTCTGTTAGTAGTTGTAAATTTTTATTTATAATGTTCTGTATGTGTTTAGTTGGTAAGCCTAAATAAATAAATGATTTTAATGGGCAATTCAAAAATGTTATCATGACCATAATTCAAAAGAATGAACATTTTATTTAAGAAGTAAAATAAAAAAAATGTTATAGATTGTTAATCAAATATCAGTTCACGCGTTAAAATGATGCTTAGGTCACTTCAACGACAGGTTTTTATATATGCAACACTTTCTGGTCATTTAGGGTCTTTGGTCGTTTTATGTTTTATAGCGATCACTTTAACTAATTTATGTTTCTTGCTATAAAAGTAAAGGATGTTTAAGTATGACTTTATTTAATTTTATAACCTAATAATACAGCTACCTCAATGTCGGACAGCGGCCTAATCTGTAAATAAGGTATATATATACGATATAAGGTTATAATATATACAAATGCATTATAACAATCGTCACTTAATAATTGAAATTAACCATGGTTCGCGTCCACGACGGGACTTCAAGGGAAGGAACGGAAATTCGAGTTGCTTGAGTATATTTTTCAATCTTCAATAAACAAGCGACTTGCGGTATTTTTAAAAAACAGGAGTACAAAGTATTGTATGTTACAAGTACAAAATATTAACGCGGATTTGCCCGCGCGGCCTATATTAACCTATATTTTGGACAATTCACACAATATCTTTATAAACTGTTATTTATAAATAGCTTATACATAACAATGACACATAGGCTACAGTTTATAAAGGATATTAGTAGGTAGTTTTTGCATCAAAGAGTAACAGACATCCATTCATACACAAACTTTCGCGTTTATAATATTAACTAAGGACTTCCTGAAAATTGCATACAAATTCTTGCATTTTCATGGTTTGGTATAAAGATCGGCGTCTAATCTTCACGCACTGTCCAGGGTACATCACAAGTTCACGGAGACGGACGCCGACCCCCACAACGCACGGCGCGGCTTCTTTTTCTCCCACATCGGCTGGCTGATGGTGAGGAAGCACAAGGATGTGTTTGAAAAAGGAGCACTAGTCGACATGTCCGATCTGGAAAAAGACCCGATTGTTATGTACCAGAAAAAGTGAGTGTAATCAAATTAATTACTTTAGTATTATTCATTTATTTTTATGCGAACAGTTATTAAGCGAGCAGGCGATTCACCTGATGTTAAGTGATTAGCGCCGTCCATGAAATAATATACAGCTCCTGAGGAGTTGCACATGCGTTGACAACCAGAAAAATAAGTGGGCCCCGGCTACCTCACTCACCAAACGAAACGCGAAAGTATAATACTTACCTACTTACTTACGTAATATACTTCCAATTCACGCTGATCTTCTGTGAGGATGTGGTACTTCCCCGGAAGTGTTGCATGGTAGGGCCATAGTTTATAATAACAAAATAAAATTGCAGTAAGTACTTCCACCCGGGAAAGTACCGTCTCGTCTGGTGAGTGAGGATGGCGGGCCCACTTTATTATATTCTTTTTTTCAAAACAAATAGGAAAACAAACAGCTATATAATAAACTAACACAATAAAAAATACAGTAAAATACAGTATAAACCACCATGCTAGTAAAGTTTCCACCAAAAGTAAATTCATGATATAGAGATCACGGCAGAACTTGTTTCACTTCAATGAAAAGTACCCGGAGGACCTTGCTCGGTTTGTTTTTTTTTGGTAAATCGTGTATTTTGGAAATTACATTTAGATACAAATTACTGAGTAATGAAATATGCATAATATTTTTCTTCCTTCTTACCGACGTTATAATAAGAAAATATGAACTGATGTTTTTCACAAAAGAAAGAACTTTAAAAAAAAGGGAAAAAAATAACAAACTAACAAATCGACAAAAAATTAAAAATAAAGAAAGAAATGATCTGGAATCGAAAAAAAGTAGAAAAATAAATGTGTAAATGATCGTGACGCGAACCACGGCCGTCTGTTTTGGGGCCGCCCGATTACCGACCGAGCTATTATGACATTTTCTCTTGCGGCGAAATCTACCGTCATATTCGAATTATATTTTTCATTCCCTGAAAACAGGGATAAAAGGACATTTTCTAAAAAATGAAACCTAGCTAGATCGATTTTTCGCCCCCGAATCTATGCACATACTAAATTTCATGAAAATCGCTGGAGCTGTTTCCGAGATTCCGATTATATATATATATGCAAGAATTGCTCGTTTAAAGGATAAGATATGGTGGCAACGTATCCGCAAACTATTATTTTACTTTCATCTCATTAAATATACAGCGTGTCATTACCATCGCGACAATAAATGAACACACGTCTAACGCTACTTGCCAATAATCATAAAAAAATATTAACGTTAAACAAAATCCATAGTTAAAAAAAAAATACTTTTCAAACAAACTAATTAAGTAAAAAAGAAACAAAATTTGTGACATCCTATACAACTCGCGCCACAGCGTCGCATTACAAGCCTCTCCTTCTAACAGTATGTTTTGTCTCTTTTAAATTCCTTCAACTCATTCATATGCTTTGTGACCTTTAGAAATGAACTTTACGTTATAGTTTTATACGTACGGTGTTCTAAAATTCTTTGTTTTGAAAAGTTTGATAACTCGGTAAATATTGATGTTTAAAGAATGTAAATCTTTAATACAATTTTAAAAAGTTATACTCTATATGTATGTTCATTTATTGTCGCCATTGTAAAGACACGCTGTATATTTAAAATATTGGTATTCCGTATTGCGGGTATATGAACAGCCATATCACCTGATTCCTCGATTTTTCTTTGAAATATAAACGTAAAGAAGAGGGTCCTTTGAGGAAAAATGATGTGGTTATTAATTCTACCTTCACATATACACAAATTTCTCAGAAACTAAGGTTTCTTTGCCATTTTCTTCGAGCACGTCGTCAATGTTTCACATCTAAGCGTTGAATAAGATCATTCCTCTGAAGGTTTATGGTAAGAAAACGTCAATTCTGATCGCATACCGTAGCTGCTTCTGGTATTATATTTTTCTAAAGATTGATTGTTTGAGATATCCGTCCGCTACATGATGCGAGATGAAACGGCACAAGCCGAGAGAACTTTCTACATTCAGACGTCATACATCGTTAGTGCGAGTGAATGATGCTGCGATATCTAACATAGGTTTTATTACACGCTTTGGTTGTTAAGCTCACCTACTATATTTGTTTAATACTGTTTTCATATATATGGCGCGAGTACAAAGGGCCAAATAGAATTAACAATAACCTTAAAAGAACCGTTTAACAGAACTTCTCGGTTCTGAACGCTGGACTGGAAAAACCATTTAAACAAATTTAGTTCATAGCAAATTACATACTACATTATTTTTATTTGGAGTACTACTTAATAGTTTATTATATTTCACTTATGTCAATGCAAGTCGTTTTACATTTATATAATTTTAAATTCAGTCGCCACACACCTATTCTATTCAATGCGTTTCAACCGTTGCAACCGGTCGCGATTAGAAGGGTTTGAAATGCATTTAACAATTAAAATGGAACTTTATGGAAACTTCCATAGTAGATACGTTACGCGATTTTTTAACCGACTTCAAAAGGAGGAGGTTCTCAATTCGACTGTATTTTTTTAAAGTTTGTTACCTAAGAAATTTTGACTGAGTGAATAGATTTCGATGATTATTTATTTTATTTGAAAGCTGGTACTTGCCATGTGGTTCCATATTAATTTCATTGGTATTGGATCTTAGGCTTCGAAGATACTTAGGGAACTCCTGAAAATGAATTATAAAATGAATACGGAGCGAGGTATTTGAAGTCGGTTTTGTTTATCGTTAGTAAAAAAAAGGTTATTTTTTTTATCAATAATTAAGCATAGGTCTAATGTCGAGCTCTTTTCGATTCGAATTAATTTCAGGACGTACCTCGTGGTGATGCCTATTCTGTGCTTCATCCTGCCGGCGTGGATACCAGTAGCGCTGTGGGGGGAAAACCCTTGGTACTCTTGGTATGTCGCCGCCATGTTCCGGTACACACTGTCCCTGCATTTCACATGGCTGGTCAACTCTGCCGCTCACATTTGGGGCAACAGGCCGTACGATAAGTAAGCTTCGCATCCTTAATTGCAAATAACATTTGTACACTGGTCACACGATTTCTCGAATACGGCGCATGAAATCTGTGGAAGCACTCCACCTCGAAATATTTCAAGTCAAAAGGTCAAATGAATCGCCAATTGCTGGCAAAAAGATACGATATAAATACATGTCACTATATTTACATAGTATTTATACGTCTCTGTTTATAATATTCTCGCAATTCGAATTAAGACGAAATTTAATCAGCAATGTTTGTTTACTCTGTATTAACTCCAATTCAATAATTTGAAGAGAACCAACAAATTAAACAAATATTTTTCAACGGATTTTACGGAAACTAGCAGTAATTTCAGCAGTTTCTTCTCAACAGCCCTTAGTACCTAACGTATCGTTAGGTATCTACCAGCCGACTATACTGGGACGAAGTGGTCTTGCGCTGCCGAAAGATGGTGAGGGAATCCCCCAGATACACAAAAAAAAGTTTCTTCTCAATTTTTTGTGACATATAGTTCGCTGTTAACCCGGCAGCTTTGAAAGCTTTGGCGGAAAAGGTCCGCGGGCAAACGACCCCGGTGGACTCTGGTTCTCAAAATTGCCGCGATTAGCTTAAAAGGCGCTGAGCTTATTACTGAAGAAGAAATGAAGTCGTATTCAAATGTTTTATCTCGGATTAGTGAGTTAGTCCGTACCCATTAGTCACGCAGCAATTGCTATTGCACGAATGGGTAGGCTCGTTCGAGGAAGTACCACGACCTCATAGAAGACCGATGTGAAGTGGAAGATTATAACTTTCACATTTCGTTTAGTGAGTGAGGTAGCTGGGGCTCAATTTTTTAAACCTAGTACCATGGGCGGCCATATACACTTTATTGTGAATCGCCTGCTCACTTGACAACTTTTCACATAATCGCAGTTTTGATGGACTCTTGACTTTTAAACCTTCAGCTCTTTTGCTATTCGACTTGCTTATAAAGGGCCAAAATATTTCTGTCTAAACCGTAACACATGGGGTGCATTCCTTACTTCTTTTTCCTTCTTTAAAAAGGACTCCTGAATTCTTTGCCGTCACAGTTAGCATATTAAGCACACCATCCAGGCAACATAGTAATGTAACGTAAGGTATATAAATGTTATCAAACAAAATTTGCTATTACAGATACATAGGCGCCACAGATAATAAATCGGTAGCCATCTGCGCTTTCGGAGAAGGCTGGCACAACTACCATCACGTGTTCCCTTGGGACTACAAAGCTGCCGAGCTTGGTCATTACAGCACGAACATTTCGACAGCACTGATTGACTGGGCGGCAAAATACGGTAACTCGCTTACAATGGCAACTTTTTATTTATTGCACTCGAAATATAATTCTTACAAGGGTTAAAACTTTTATTTTAAGGGTATTAAACTTGAAATGTAATGCCTAACAGTAGTATTTCTTATGTCAATAATCGTTTATTAGCATAACCTTTAGATTGGCGAATCTATTATAATTTGAATGAGATATACTCGTAGTTTAAACGTTCAGTTAGTTACTTTCATCTTGGTTCAACTTTCACGCGAACTAAAATGACGTTCAACACGCGACCTGTCAGCTATAGAACAAAATAGAAAGTCAATCAAATATGAATCAGACACTGTTATACCACTTTTTCTTACCACTTTACGAGTTCATTGTAGCTTCTTAGATGATTCTACAATTTACTACCATTATATTATATTCTAACAATTCTGTTTTTGGCAATCCATGGAAATTTCAATGGACTTATAAAACAATTGTCATTTTGTCTTTCGGTTATACCCTATAATATTGTGATTAAATTTCCCCTGCTGCAGAATAAGATGTGTGTGAAAGCGCTTTATAAACAAAAATTGTATAAGGATTGTTGCTGTTTAACAAACAATCATTAAATGCAGGCAAGAAAGAACTCACGTCCCCCGTTAACGACATCCATGTGTTTCCAAAAATTTTTCTTTTCCATATGTGCATATATCAACTGCAATAGTTTGTACATATTGTTATTATTATGCATATGCATATTCATTGCTAAGATATAGAATTAAGTTCTGACGACGTCGCAGTTTTAACTTGCTACGAACGGCTTGTATTAGCTTCGATAAGCTAATCGAAATGTTCCTAAGGTAAAACTTTGAGGGATTGAGAAAATTTTATGCGCTCAATCTCTGGAAACCGTGATCTATTATATTGATCGCTAGTGTTTTTTTACGTATAAAACGGAAAAGGTAATTTTACGTATTTTTCAGATTATACTTCTAGAATTATCGCATTTCTAGAACCTTTTAAAAAAAATCACTAATAACAATACGATTAATTTAGTACATGGGGCAGGTGCTCATAGCCCGCAGTTTGACTCTTAATGCCTTTGTTTATTTGAATCTAATCATGCTTAGTAAAATAAATGCAGTATGCAACTTATTCATACGTATGCTAATTCAACTAAATAAAATTCAATTTTTAGATTTCGTTTTCTTTTTTTTAACATTATCACTTTAGGATTAAATTATTCTGTGTTGCAAGGACGTTTTAAAAACATAAACTTCACATGGACAAACACCCAGATACGAAACAACTATGTGGGTCGCACAAATACTTGTCCCGTGTGGGAATCGAAACCACGACCCTCGACGCCGAAATCAATACCTTGTCTCCTTCTCCACGGATTCATTTACCTTCTTACTAGGAAAGGTGTGTCGCGTAGATCCCTAACGGTTATGACAGCTCTGTGTTTCTTCATCAGGGTTAGCATACGACTTGAAGACCGTGTCGGCAGAGATGATCCGCAAAAGGGTCTCCCGTACCGGGGACGGCAGCCACCCTTACAGCAAAGAGGCTGAGAGCAAAGAGGAAGACCACCACCACCCTGAGAATCCAGTTTGGGGCTGGGACGACCAGGACATGCTGGACGAGGAGCGGCAGTTAGCAGAAATCACAAATAAGAAATCGGATTGAGCAGGCCTATAATGGGACATTGCTTACACTTAATTTTGAGTTGGACGTTTTGTGTGTTCGAAGTTTGTGACACGTCAGTCTGAGGGAGGTGCCTAGTGACACTGTTTGTTGGTACAAATATGGTTTATCAGGGTTGCGTTTTCAGCATACCTTTTGTTTAAACTTACCTATTAACTAATGTTAATAATGTAAAGACTAGACGCTTTATATAAATAACATATCGAGCAAATTATCAGCTATCACGATTACGACTATTTAAGGGAATCACAATTAAAGTTCTTTGCCCCAGTACTTTGCCCAAGCACAGTTGAGCTCACACCAATTAACTATGATATATAGTTAAAATATTTATTTTGTATACATTGTGAGGGTAAGTTAAAAATCCTTTCGTTTTTAACAATGATAAAATTGTTAAAAACGAAATTGGCAACAGTTTATTGTACCGTCGGCTTTTTTATTTCTATTTTGGTATACATTTTGTCTAAAGTGAATCAAAGTATTCGTATTTGATGGAACTCAATATAATACTAAAATCGACATCTAAAAAGGTTATTTTATTAAGCTCCTTTACGCAAGGATTATTCTTTAAATTGAAACTCCGGCTTCCGTAGTAGTAAAAGTATTTTCCGTGATGGCAATATCTTAAATTCCTGCTTTGTATATGTAAGTATATATTTGCTAACGATTTTATCAATGTCCTTGTCTGCCGTGCTTTAAGATATATAACAGAACAAAAGAAATGTAACTAATTATCTATGTGATATTTTAAAATATTATGCCACCTTTGGTGACAATCAGGGTGTTAGTAAATTAAGAATATTTATTCTATAAGTTGGATTTTAAATTCATTTAATTTATTAAAACGAATTTGTTTTTATTTTGTGTTTTTTTTTGTATCCTAAGTCTGTTCAAATTAATATATCAAGTTTGCCTTAATGAACTCAAGGTGGAAAATTTTCATTTTGTGTTTAATTTCGAAAATAGCTTCTTTTATGTGATTCTTTTATTTTATTTTTATACAGAGAATTCTCGAACAGTCGCTTACGAGCTTATTTAGTCAAGAAAATTTTATTTCATTAATCGTTAAAGTAAATAACTATAAACACGTAATTACACGTAGTGTTAAGATAGGATTTGGAGGACTACCTTACGGTACCATCGACTTTTATCGCTTTTATGCCCTTTTTAGGGTTCCATACCTTAAAAGGTTAGAACAGGACAGACCCTTTATTACATATAAGATCAATTTCTTGTCCGTCTGTCTGTCCGTGTGTCACCACCGATTTTCTCCGGAACGGGTGGACCTAGCAAGTTGAAATTTATACCAAATACTGAGGTCTATAGTTCCTATTAGGTGTATAAAAATCAAGGTCCTGAGTCGACGCGATTAAAAGATCCCATACAATACATATAATTCCAATTTTCGCGAAAACTTGTAAGTTCCAAAATTTACCTTAATTTTCAATACTTTTTATTTTTTAAATTTTACTTATATAAACTTGACAATTCTAGGTCATGTACTCTATAGGTATTAGGTCGAAAACCTGTATGGTAGTTCCCGTTAACCTAGAATCACAATGCCAATCTTTAAAATTCTTGTTATGTATCAGTTACAACAAGGAAACAAGATCAATTGAGATGAAGATAATTGAAGATAGTATTCTGAAGAGCAAATATTTGTATTTATCTATTGGCCGAGCCATGATACAATAGGTGATACATATACACGTCTTTTTCTACATAAGTACAAACTTATTGATTTCTTGATTTTACGCGAGTATTATACATATGAAATATATGAAACTAGTTTACGGATTTTATCGCGTTTTAATTTTGGTTTTCAACTCGCGACGTTTTGAACCCTTTTCAGCGTTCACGGTCACTGGACACAAAACTCTGTCTGTTAATAAAAAAGGCCAATAATTGATTTATTTATTTTTTTATTATTAAATTAGTTATATTTACACGTTTATAAATGAAGTTACAATAGAATGACGTCTAAGTTAGATTGTAATGCTGAAATATTATTTCACTTATTATGTACAGGCGGCTTAGTCAAGATCATCAAACAAATTGTTCACGTCATACAAAGGAACAAAGCTGAAAAGAACATAACCAGCAAATTACAAATAAGAATTTTGTGATGTGTTTCGGTGTTTCAATCCTTAATTTACAACATATTAATATTTTATAACATACTGATTTACTATCTACAGTCAGTTCAAATAACTATTTCTTACATTTTTCAAGGAAGTTAATAATATAAATAATTAATTAAATAACAAATGATGTATCATTGACCATAAAAATATTAATTACGATTCTTAAGTAGTTTTGTTTACGGCTATACTTCACATTATTCCGACTGGTTTACGTTTAATGTTTTTTTTTTCTCACGTTTAAACATAATGATATTATAACCGATAACGTTTAATAAAATAGTTTTTTTTTGTAATTGAAAAGTCCCGTTTTTGAGAACTTTTATATCTTCATCCCATCATAAATTTTCAGTATAAATACAGATTACATATTGATTGCATAATGTTGTATAAAAAAAGCATAACATGACGATGTTCTTGATTTTATTCGTTGTATTATTTACATTAGTGTATTGAAAATTGTCAAAGCTTTTTTTTTTTTTTTTATGCGAAATGTCAAACGAGCAGACGGTTCACCTGATGTTAAGTGAATACCGCCGCCCATGGACATCTGCTACACTCGAGGGTTACAGATGCGTTGACAACCTTTTGAAAACTGGGCTCCGGCCACCTCACTCACCAGACGAAACGCGAAAGTACCTGTCATACTTCCACTTTACGCCGGTCTTCTGTGAGGTCGTGGTACTTACCCGGACGGGCCTGCCCATTCGTGCAACAGCCGAGGCTGCTGCGTGGCCCTACCACAGTAAAAGTTGTCAAAGCTCCAAAAATCTAACACCTGGACCAATTAAAAGTGCAACTATTACCAAAATACATACTAACTAATAAACACACATCCATCAGCTGGCAAAGGCCTGCTTATACATGGTTATTTTGTAACAATTACATTAAATTGAAAACGTCTAAAGTTTTTTCAACATTAAAGTTTCTTTTTCTTCCCTTCGGCCACTGCTCCTTTTAATGTCGGTGTAATATCCATGGCCGGTTTCATCACCGTTTTGAATCCATGGCAAGTTTGCGTGTACGGAGACTTCTTTTATAGCACTGCCATCACCTAGAAAATATCCTCCGTCGTGGTGGGACATCTCGCCGTATGTTTCTCCGTTCGACTCCGTGTGGTGGTGATGACTTGGCACGGGTGGATGATGTTTCTCGTTGTGATAGCCGTCGTTTACGTAAATGATCTTGTGCTGGTTCACGTCGTTGAACGCATTGTTCCTCAAAAGAGTGAACACGGCACCGGATAGTGCCATATTGTTGAGTATGCCCACCTTTATTACCATCAGCTTCAACGCTGGCAAGACGAAAGGCAAGATTGCAGACATAATGAGTCCAGGAACTAGCAGTAACGGTATGATGTTGTAGAACTTCTTCTTTAACTTCTTCATGTGGCCACGTCCGGTATCAGCATTGCTTCCTGTAAAGATTGTATTGATAATTATTCTAACAGAAACTAAAACAGAAATGTACGTTGACTGCGCGCCAATGAGCGATGAGAGATTATTTTCTATCAAGTTACATCTCACATTTCTAATCTAATCTGAGACTATTAGCTCGGTAAAACGGGTATAACATAAGCATTAACTAGTGGAAACAAGGTCTTCTCCTTGTTCGTATTGGATATCAAACACAGTGCAAGCCTAACTTCTGATAAGACAAGTTACAAGCTAGTATATGCAATGCCAACCTTAAAGGCTTCTTTCCTTCCTTTCTTATGTGGAACCGTTAAAAGCTTTGTGCTGTGTGTTGCTTCAAATCAGAGTTTCTTTCAACAATGCCACCATGTTTGAATACAACGAATACTCGTTGGCCCTATTTTTAACAAGGGACTAACGACCACGTGTCACTACGTATCTATACAGAAGAGACCATATCCCCATTTTATTCCATTTAATTTAATAAAAAAATAACAGTATCGTCAACACTTCCTAAAGAACAATAATTTATTAAGATAAATGAAGGAAGACTTGTCATTAAAATTTGTAGAATCGAACCCAAGTCTTCGGGATTCACGCCCTGAAGCTTTGGCCAAGAAAGTGTTGTCGTTAAGATAACTCTTACAAGCCTACTCGTGTTGTCGGGTTTTAAGAACGCTGGATGCATTCCCTCACTGAATAATTTCACGTAAACTTTGAACAATTACCCATATGGCTCTCTCGTCAATAGGTAACTTAGCAGGACGATGCAATCATATTTTTTTTTATGCATAAATTTCTTGTGTATAAAAATAACTAACTGATAATATAGATTTGAAAGTTGATGTGTGTTCTTCTCATCTAATAATAATGTAATAATTTATTAAGGATGTGTTTCAAATATTTACCGATTTCAAGGACCATCGTTAGATAAATGAACCGACTCATCCCGAGAAGAATACTTCAGTAGTCAAGGTAAGGATTTGTTTTTATATAATTATCAGGGCCGTGCCTGGGTATATGGCCGCCTGCGTGCCAGTCTGTATGGCCGCCCCCAGGATAACATTAAAAAAAACTACTTTAATTTTTAATGTTTATTATTTTACACAGGGCATCAAACCGGGAAAAAATCAGTTTTTGGTTAACCGAAATCGAGAACGATAAAAAAACTTTTTAAATCGAGAAAACTTTCGAAATCGAGAACGATAAATAAACTTTTTATTAAATTTCACCACACGAACACACAACTAAAAGTTTTCAGGAATTAAGCAATTTATTTTTATTCGTTAACTTAAAGAATTTAATCATATCGGATCACACACAGGACACAAATAACGATTTATCCTCGCTAGTCTATAGACTAATACGACTAATAAGACGAATAAGACCGCTTACGCGACGCCGGTCAATTGAAAAAACTATTTCGGCTCGTCGCTCGTGCAATGTTCGAAAAAATTCGGATTCGCTGCATGACTAGGTATATAAATACTACAACGACCTAATCAGTTTTTATACATTTCTTATTTCTGAGAAACTCTTTTTAGATAGATTAGATTAGAGAAACTGTTTTTACTTCGTATCTTAATGAAAACAAACCGATTGTATTTTTGCCCAGTAAACAACTTGTAACGATTTGGCCGCCTCTTAATTTCGGCCGCCTGCGTGCGGTGCACGCAATGAACGCCCGTCAGGCACGGCCCTGATAATTATTATATTAGTATTTATAGTTTTACGTTTTGTCTATTCGAATTTAACCGCTACGCGGCTATTCTGATTAAGTTTCGCAATTCATCTGCAACGGCATGTGTGCTAAATATAGCCTTTTTGTGTGAGAAATGGCTGTCTTTTTTTTTTCATTTACTTTTCGTTTTAAGTATATGGCTCATTATAGTAATATATGGATATAAGTTTTAATATTATATTAGTATTTAGATATAAGTTTATATTAGATTTTACTGACCGATAAATATGCACAAAAATTAGGGTAACAATATTTAGTCCGGTAAAACCTTTCACTACTTGGGATATAATTAAGTAACTTTCTCATTCATATTTGTTATGTTGATGTTATCTTTTACACGATTTCATTAATTATTCATTTCGTTTAGAACGTTCTATTACGTAACGCTTCGAAATTTATGAGACGATAAATTAGCCCCTATTAGCTAACATATTTCATTTTAAACGGGTTTCGATGATGTTTTAAAAAAGTAAACAAGAAAGTTTTTCGTGTCAAAGGCGACAGAACGAGATAAAGATAATATGCCTGATATATTATGATAATGATAAACATTTATCAAAAAATTTAAAACTTTAAATTTTTTATTTTATGTGAAAAGTCGTCAAGCGAGCAGGCTGTCCACTTGATGTTAAGGGGGAGAACACTGCCCATTGACAGCATCTGAGGGGCTTTCAGATATTTTGACAACCTTTAAAAAAGTGGGCTCCGATTACCTCACTCACCAGACGAACCGCAAAAGTATAATAATTTCCACTTTTTTTTCATGTGACAAGTTGCCAAGCGAGCAGGTGTTTCACCTGATGTTAAGCGAATACCGCTACACCCGAGCGTTGCACCTTTTGAAAATTGGGCTACGGCTACCTCACTCACCAGACGAATCGCGAAATTATTATATTCCCACTTTACGCTGATTTTCTGTGTGAGGCCGTGGTAGCTTCCCGGACGAGCCTGCCCATTCGTGCAACAGCTGAAGCTGTGGCGTGGCTTTACGTTCATTCGTCACTCATTCTTATTAGTAGAAGATGAATACGCCACATTCTGTAAAATAAATATAACTATCAAACAGAACATATCATTCCACAACACATACTATTCGAACGAGTAGGATTTCTGCTCGCGAACGCTCGAGGCAAGAATTCTAGAGAAATTTTTATTTAATCGAGACAGGAAAAATACTCAACGCCTCGAGAGCTCGAGAAATCAATTGAAACAAGTTCTCAAAACATTGTTCAACCGAAGTTTCGGATATCGCAAATAAAGATAATGAAGAGGAAATCAAATTCGATAATGAGAAACTTAAACTGGACCATTCAGACATCTGAGATTTCAAACAAAACTGATCGCACTCACATAAATCTTATATTCGTAAAAAGAATTCCACCTATTTTAGTCTACAACGAACGTTACATTATTTTAATTACAAAATTCGAATAACCCATATCGACGGAGAAAGAGCGTCTTGTTATCGGGAAACATTGTGAAATATGAAACCGACTGTAAGATGTAACTATTAATAAGCGTATTTCTGAGTCTATTTTATAAGGAAAAACGTTGAATTAAAATTTGCTTTCTTTGTTGATTATTTTACGGGTTTTAATTTTTTTAATCGTGATAATCTCTACACTTAAGATTAAACATTAAAATGTGTAGAAAATTACGAAAAGATTGTCGCCGATGTGGGAATCGAACCCACGTCTTCGGCATTCGCGGCCTGACGCTTTAGCCACTAAGCTAAACGGCCGATTGCCACATCAACGAAAATCTTAAAGTATTTTATCTACCTTGTTTTTTATAATTTGAAGCAATGCTTGGCGTATGTGAGGTTCAGATACCTCACGTAAAACAATTAATCGGGATAAATAAAGTTATAATTACTTTGAATGACATCAACGTTGAGCGTCCCGTTGCCGTTGCTACCCAGCTGCAAAGTGTACTCAGGGTTGACATTTAGGGCTAGACGACGATACTTCAGCAACCCCTCCGTTCCATCGCAGAGCTCCGTGTACAGATTTTCTTCTGACGCGTTAGCGTAACGTTCCCATGGGAACTGTTCGACGTCCGCGTTTAAATCGGAAGTCGTTCTGCCAATTCCAACCGCCTCTATGGCCCTCCGCGCCCGCCACGCACTGAACGCCGTCAGGCATTTTGAAACGCCCAACGTCAGGCCGCAGTCGACGAGTCGTGATAGTCTATGGTCTAAAGGGAATAGACGCGGCGTTTCGAGCGCGTTCGAAATTTGAAAGCAAAGCGCGAGAACCACGATGGCGACGCGCCCGCGCATCGCTGCGGCGAAACTGAGCATTCGCCATACTTACACAGCGATGTGTTGCTAGAAAAGAGAAGGGCGTCGCACTGATACAGTTTCTTGATAATTCACGAACGAAAGTGAAACATCACCGCATTTTTTACTACGCACCTGTCTAGAATCATTGTAATAATTCTATGATAGTATCTCTCTCTGTGACCCCTCCACAATAATAATATAATAATAAATACCAGTTTAGGATACATTTTCAAATAACATTTCTCTCGTCTTAAGCTTAAGGAACTCTTTTCTTATGGGTACTAGAGACTTTTTTTTTATGTCACAAAGTAGCAAACGAGCTGGTGGTTCACCTGATGTTAAGTGATAACCGCCGCCCATGGACATTTGCAAAACCCGTAGGGTTGCAGATGCGTTGTCACCTTTAAATAAAGTGTGCCCCGGCTACCTCACTCACCAGACGAAACGCTGAAGTGTAACACTTTTACTTTACACCTGTCTTCTGTGAGGTCGTGGTAATAACCCGGGGACGGACCTGCCCATTCGTGCAACAGCGAATACTGTAGCGTGGCCCTACCACAGTAAACTGATAAACATACTTAAATAAACTTTTCTTTTTAAAAAATAAATACTTATTATACACACATATATATTTAGATATATATATATATAAACACTGGAAAAAGATTATGACGTCACACAATACTTGTTGGGGTGGGGATCAAAGCCACACAAAGCGCAAGACCAAGACGCAGGTTCAGTACTCACAACACCAATAGGGTTATCAAATTGATATGATATTTTAAACAAAATTGAATTACAATATCTTTGCACGTTAACAAATTTATCTCTGCACGATCAATTTATTATTCAATTCTTTTGTTATTATTCATTTTTTTTTGTTCAAATCTTTAAATCTTTTGGTAAATAGTGGTAAATTTTAAACAAAGAAAGAATAGTTTAGAAAGAGTAGTAAATAATGGACTATTATAACAAATTTTGTATCCGAAAATCGACTCTATAACTTAATGCAATCATAAATGTTTCTGTTTTCTACACGTATTATTGATATATATAATTAAATCACGTCATATTCTTAACTAATATCAAAAATTCATTAAGGTACTGTTCAAAAAAAATTAAAGCGAACTTGCCGTTCAGTCAAACAAAGAACTGTGAGAACTACGTAGCCCAAATAACCTCACGAAACGCAAAAGAGGTGCAAAAAAAACCTTCAAGCACCTGGGGAGAATTGAACAGCCGAATTTGTAGTCATGATACGCGTCACGAAAAGTCGTGCAAAGCGCGTTGCATTATAACAGATTTTCGGAATACAATGCAATTATTTAGTCGAAAGTTTCGAAACGCATTCGAAATTGGATGAATTCGCTCGTTCTATATATCGAAAATCGAATGCAGCGCGCTATTAGCATAGACACGGCCGAACGCACGGTCGACGCACCCGTCGCGCGTCGGATAGTTTCACCGCATTTCGTGCCGTGATTGTCGACGTTTTCGAACAAGATTGTGCGACACGCGTTCGCATCACGTCTCTTACATTTCTCGTCCGTTCGAAAATTGTACGTTGATCGCGTCGAATTGCTAGTTGCTACAATATAAAGATCGTTATAAATCAAAGCATATTGCGAAAAATACGACGAAGTTTTGACCGTCTTTCATGTTCTTTTACTCTCACAAATTAAAAGTAAAGACGGTAATTGCGAAAGTTTGAGTACCAAAAGTAAAATAAAATATAAATATAATGTTCGTCCTTCAAGTAAGTTGTACATTAACCTCACATCAAAGGCTAATAACTTACATGAATAAACGATAAGGCTTACGCTGTCAAAGACGCCAATCATCAATATCGTTCAGATTCATTGCGATGGAAAAGTCTGTTAATTTCCGTGAATTTAAAGACTGGGATATAAAACTAATATACTTATTATAAACAGTGACGATATAATTCGCCGTATAATATACGAGTAGATATTTATGCCGCGTGTAAATTGTATTGTATTGTACTTTCTTTTTTGTAACGATGGCCAATCATCATTATATGTTTTAAAAGTAAAAATTTAACAAAATATTTTTGTGGACCGATACAATTAAAAAGTGACGAACTCAGACCTGTGCAAATGGGCGGGAATTGGATGAATGAAGGTTGCTTAAAAATGTTTTTAAATTTACAACTCCTAATACAATTCCATTAAAACTCTTTGGATTTAACTCTTATGTGCAACTCTAAGCCGAATTTCGATTGACTTTTTAAAATTTTCATTAAAAATCCAGTCCTAAACAAGCCTGTTCATGATATAATGTGGCCGGTTCATATAGAAAGTTCAACTATTTGATTTGATATTTAATAATCATTTTCTTGGTCAGATATACATATGAACATAATCGTGGATTATAAATTATATTTTATAATGCGCCGACCGTCGTTTGGTTACTATTTTATTTTGTGGAACGTTATCATTCTGCAGAAAAGTCATTATATCTGGTTCGCTGCATCGTTCATCGCATGGAAATACTGTCGTAGGCAGATTAATTAACGTCTTCTTAGTTAAAATTTTGAAAAGTTAAATTATAATAATATTATTATTAAAACATGTAGAAAAAGTACGTAAAGATTGTCGCCGCTGTGGAATGGAACCCACGTCTTCGGCATTCGCGGCCTGACGCTCTAGCCACTGAGCTAAACGGCTGATAGCCACAGCGACGAAAATCTTAACGCATTTGAAGCAATGCTTGGCGCATCTATTGTTATATCCTTTCCAGCATACAAACAATTTCAAATATCGTTTTACAACGATAATTCGAACGAGAGATGTCGCCATGCTTTTATAAATTTTAAAGTTTTTTATAGTGCTAATCTCTGCACTTAAGATTGAACATTAAAACATGTAGAAAAAGCACACCACTGGGATTCTAACTTTGTGTCTGTCTACAAATAGTTACATTGTTAACATATTTACGCATAACATACTTATTAGACATTACTGGAGCAATAACACATAAAAACAAGTAATGAAAAACGTAAATCTGGAAACTACAGTCTTATGAGTTGTGCCAGATTTTAGGCGAGTTATGTGATTACTGTAATGGATAATGAAACTAATTCTTGCATCAGTGGGTATGATTTTGATTTCCACAACTGAAGTATTTTGTTATGAATATAGTGTTTTCTAATAGGAAGAGGAATTTCTATTCACCTGGATATTGTATACACAAACAAATGAAAAAACTCTATCACTTTATCTAGAGCTCATAAGATGAACTAGTTCAGTTTGTGATTTGTATTTTAAAAAAAAATGTACTGTATATATTTTATATCACCAGTAAAATTATTATCTAGAATAATGCAATAGCTAAACTTATAGTGTAACAAAGACATGCGAATGTAAATCACAGTTACAGGGCAACACAATTTATTACTCTGCCCTTTATGGACACCGGACGTGTGCCTAAAATATTAAATGTATCTAAATGGTTACGATGCTCTCTTTAGTATTATATTAAATAATTTAGAAATAAAATAAAATTGGATATGAGTTATCATGATAGTGACACCTTACTAAAATTTACCGAAATTTAAGTACGTATACGGATTTTATTGCGTTTAATTTCGTTCCAAATTCACAGCGTTTCGACCCTTTCATAGCATCCACGATAACGATACGGACTGAGCTTACATCTATGCGAAAGGAGCTTAATCCGTTTAATTCTTATCAAAACAAGCAATCAAAACGCTGACGGTATTCCGATTTAACTTAATATTAGGATGAAAACCACCTCACAAACGAAATGCAGAATAAAACATAGCTAAACTCCGCAAAATCCGTAGCATAGGCCAATTCAGCAAAGCGTAGTGCTCGCCTAGATACGAAGTAACGTCCCAAGAATGCCCTACAAACTCCTAAACGGTCACTTTCGTTGGCAATTATGCACTGTTCGATCGCTATCGGAGGATGTGCGTGTCCATTAGGAGCGCGGGCCCAAGTTTCGGTGTCCAAAGCGGGCGCGTTAACGGGGACGCAGTTTCTACGTCGCGGTCACGTTGTCCAGCACTTTCTTTCGACGCGTCCATTTGGCCTCGCCGACAATTGTCTTGCACAGGACACTTTATATCCTGCCATTCGATCATATGGCCCATCAGTTATTGCCAGGCGATCGGCGAGACACCATCGATTACGCTACCCGATTGCGCCTGCACTCTTTTAAGATGTGTCGAATGTTCGGTGTCCTGTCTTTGGCTTACTTGGCCGTTTTCGTAGCGGCCGTGCATTGCGATGATGTCTCGGCTCCGAGCGCGATCAGTTTTTCGGACGATGGTAAGTGTGTGTGTTATTTTAGTTTAGATTCGAGATTATAGAATTGGACGTTTCTCCTAATCACTGTTGTACGGTCAGTAAAAGCGTATCCTAAAAAGACTTATAGTATACTAGCTGACCCGGCAAACGTTGTTTTGCCATATAAATCAAAAAATGTTTGGGGTGGACCACCCTTAACATTTAGGGGGATGAAAAATAGATGTCAGATTCTCCACCCTGGCCGATATGCACACAAATTTGAGCCGTTTCGGAGGGGTTCAATTACAAACACCGTGACACGAGAATTTTATATATTAGATTGAAAATAGGGTAATAGTAATTGATCACACATTTTTATTTTATCACGTTTCAGAAAAATTAACATTTAAAGAGCGCTTCACCTTCATCTTAACTTCTTTAGAGGGCTGTCCTTTGATTCATAATAAATTGTGTATTTCATGGCATTCAAATTATTCTTAATGGTATCCTTTAAATTATGATATTTTATAGTTTAATTGCATATCTAACTGCATGCAAATCAATTCCAAATTACTCGAATTAATACAAAACCGTAAGGCTATACGTAATTTACTCAAGTGAAAATACTGAAGAAATTAAACTTTTAAAGACATTTTATTAGATTCAAGACATTTCATTGACTTAAAGGTAGGTTTTCAATATTACAAAACTATTAAATGAAGTCGATTAAATGTAGTTCAAAATAATTTGATAGAGATATGATGTCGGAGCCAATCTCCCTTGACTTTGAAAGTTTTGTTGTTTTGGCGCTAACATAGTATTCTATTTTTTAATATTGTAATTTAATAGTATTAAGCTAACGTTCTATTTATAATTACTTAGTTAATTACTTGTTTGGAGAATCTAAACCATTTTTTGTCATCATTTGCACTTAAAAATAAATCAGTCAGATCTAAGAAAACTGTAAGTGAAACAAATATTTGACCCGGGGTCCTTCAATGATCGATCTTGGACCGAAACTATTAGCCTTGCTAACAGTTTCGGAGTCATCGAGTACTCCAGCTTAACTTATTTTTTACTTTTTTAATTACAGCCAAAGGTTATAAATTCAATTTCTTTCAGACAACGTGGGACGCACGTTCGGTCGGTTCGCCTTGAAGCGCTTGTCTTTCATCTTTCTGCCCGTGATGTTTACGCTCGGCGTTATATCGACTCTGCTCCTCGCACTCGCCGTCATCTCCGTGAAGAACCTTGCTATCGGAGTGATACTCCTGATAGTGGCCATCAGCCAGGTGAACCCCTTTTTTCATTTTTAAATAACCTCACCTTTAAGAAACAACGTCAGTTTCAGTAAAGAAGTGGAAGAAAACATGTTTTTAAAAGCCAACTAATTCTAACCAAAAAAACATCGTTCATTACGAATAAGAAATGTTATCCAAAGATTCTAAAGAATCTCATTGCAAGGCCCTGAGATTCCTAACTCACGGTCTACGTGATTTCAAAGAAATACTTGTAAATGGGCATGGAGTTTAACCAAGCGATGCACTATCATGTACTTCTTGGTGTAGGATATTTTATAGACGAATATTACACATAAATAAAGTAAACTCGTAACTATGCAAAACTAAAGTTAATAAGCATATAAGCTCTTTCAATCTCAAATCTCCTCCACCGTGAAGATAAGCAAAATTTTGGAATTGGTCATTAAGCAAAGTTTCATTTATGTCATTTATGACTTATGCCCGTTTTCACCATGTATCCCTAACTTTAAGGCACATCTAAAAAAATTAAGGTCTAGTCTCATTTTCACCGCCGCTTATGTGTCACACTTTAAGACTTTAGATGGCGGTGTACCATTTAAGCGTTGGTATCCCTTAAGGTTAGAGATCAATGGTGAAAACGGCCATTACACATGTAGATTTCTTTGGTGAATTCACTGGGTCCCATACTATAAAAGGTCTGGCCAATCCATGAGCGGTGGTAATCTTTTAACATCAGGAGACCATCTTATTTGCAACCTTCTATAAAATATGTAAAGAAAAGTAGCAGCTTATGTATGTATATTCTACTGCAGGGCAAATGCCTCCTCTATATAGAAGATATCAGGGGCCACCGTACAATATTATGCCTGATGAGAACGTGATAAGTCAGGATCTAAAATTGCAATTAACAATTTCATTACAGCCGGCTCGATTATAATGAAATAAAAGCTACCGCCGGAACACTGAGCTATCGCGGCTAAAAAAATATTCCACTTAAATGAGAGGTATTAACATGTTTAATTATTTTCCAACAGGCTGTCACAAGACTGTTCTCAGCGGCGACAAATTCATCACCCTTAGTGCATTTCCACCCCCGAGCTGAACTTCTGCCAGCGCCGGCGCCGTGGCCTGCAGCATCGGGACCACTTCTCTCACCCTGGGCGAGATCGGACAACGACGCGGTCATATCTGACTAAGCTTATATAAACACTACTACAAGGCCCCGTGTTTCGATATATTGTCTTTCGACTCACACGAGAAAATTTATATAGAATAATTATTATTAAGGACTATGCATTTATATCGCATTTAAAACTTCGTCTGTCTCTCGCAAACCCTGACTTTGTGAAAGAAAGACGACGGTAATTTGCGTAGTAGCTATGATTTAGTTTATAAAACTACCTCCTAAATGTAATAATCATTCTATTATCTTATAAATAATAATAAATGATTGGAAATTTATCATCTTTGCTTTTACCTTACGTTAGATAAACAGATCGGATAATATAATCTTGTCCAACTTTCTCTTGGTCGTATGACGGATTGAAGTATGAAAAATAATTAAAAAATTTATTTAACAATGCCTTATACTCGAGTAAATACACAAAATAGTTTTGGAAAAATCAGTTTCAAATCCCAATGCAATAACATCACTGCTACGGCCAACCAGAGAGGGCAGGTCATCTACGCTTCACTTTGTTTTCATTTAATTTTAAAGTATAATTTTGTTTTGGTACGTTTTTTTCTGTGTAAATATGGTACAATGTATTAATAATTAATAGTTTACACACATTATTTAGGATTAAATAATCATTAATTAATTAACCAAATACGCAGTTACTTCACAAGAGTCTAGATTTTTAAGGCATTGTTGTTACGAGTTCATCATTAACTTCAAGGAAAAACGTCAAGTTTATATTTTGTCATTTTCTCATTCCCCCGTGCTAAAATGGAAAAGTTTTAGAGCTTATTGTTTACGTTAGCTGACAATACGCCGTAACGGAATAACTAATAAATTCTACAATGAAGCAACTAGATCTATTTTGAAAAACGATATAGATTTCATAATTTCGTAATTTCACAATTTCCAACCCTAATCTGATAAATTTCGAATTAGAATTTTCTGATAAACAACCTGCAGATTGCAGAAATTACTTCACAAGGATATCCTGAATTTCTGACGACGATTTAAATTTTTCACAACAACAATAAATTAATATACTCTACCAATTTAAATAAATCTCAAAAGTTATTGTTTTAAAAATGCTCAGGACTCACTTTAATACTGCTGTACACATAATAGTACAGTCTTATTTTAAAATAATAATCGAATATCATAATAGAGTTAATATAATAATCGAAACAGTGACACGATAATCGAGATGTACGGAAACGTGTAGACGAAAGATAGGGTATTTTGTCGCATTTATTTTTCGGAATAGATCTACGGAGTTGCGAGCGGCCATTAATCCCAAAGACGGAATAGAAAAGTTCATTGTATCCTAAACGCTACTCCGCAGATTCCAAACATGCATTCGCTGTCCACTTTAAAGTATTCGTTTCGACGAAACTAGCTGTTGTGTGAAATGCATTTGAAGCGATCCCCCGAGAACTCTCGTCAGATTCTCTTTCAAAGTTCGTTGAACTAAACGACATGATTAATACGGTAGCATTTCGCTCCCCTGTAATAAAGTTTATTGAAACGTAATGTTGGATACATTACGTTTCGGTTTAAAACACAAGGGATATTTTAAACCGAAATGGATACATTATATCATGGATACACATATAAGTAAATGTAAAGTAAAATTTAGGTTAAGACCTATATTTTTTAACTAGTTCTTATATTTTAAGATAAACACTGTTATGGTAAATTTCATTAAACCAATTCGTTAATATTAATTAACATCGTTATATTTTTAGCATCGTTATTACGGTGGTAGGACCACGCAGCAGCCTCGGCTGTTGCACGAATGGGCAGGCCCGTCCGGGTAAGTACCACGACCTCGCAGAAGACCAAGTATGAGAATTACTTTCGCGTTTCGTCTGGTGAGTGAGGTAGCCGAAGCCCAATTTTCAAAAGGTTGTCAACGCATCCGTAACCCTCGGGTGTGGCAGATGTCCATGGGCGGCGGTATTAACTTAACAGGTGAACCGTCTGCTCGTTTGACAACTTTTCGCATAAAAAAAATATTAACATTTAAAACTGGCTCAATATTTTTCCTTTTACAATACATATTTCGATATTTTATTTATTTATTTAAGTTTAAGATTTTACTTTTCTTGTGCGAGCCATTGTATATAGGCGTCCTATAAAAAGCCTATTAGGTATCAACTGGCTTGTCTAATGGTAAATTTAGATGGCTACCGCTTTACGGATAAACACAACAAAGTTGCTTATTAGAGGTTTCAGATATTTTGCAGACTGATGGAATGAATATTGTGCTAAATAAACAATAAGCTTTTATTGTATTGTAAAGATAAGAAAGACTGTATTGTAAAATAGAAGTTAAAGATTAGTTCTTCGCTAAAACCGTATCTTTGATTTTCTTCTGCGGTTCGTCTGGTGAGTGAGGTAGCCGGGGCTCACTTTATTAAAATTTGGCAACGCATCTGCAAACCTAGGGCTATTGCAAATGCATTTGTGACGGTTGTCACCTAGCATCAGGTAAACTACCAGCTCGCTTGCCACCTTCTCACATAAAAAAAACATAATACTTCTTTTCCATCAGGGAATTTTGACAACTAAATATATACTCAACGTATGAAACTCTCTCTAGAGATTATTTTATTCAGATATGCAATTTATTTACGATTCTCCCCTCAGCACGCTCTGATTCACTTGCGTTACAACTAAATTGTTTTTGTACGACAAAGTACCACTCCAATTGTAAGTATAGCGGAAACTCGAAAGTAATTTAGGGTTGATCCTTCTCCTGTACAATTTATGCAACTTGCTTAGATTAACTACTTAAAATAAAGAAAGTTCTACAATTATTTTAAGTTTTAGCAACTGAGCATGAGTTTGATTTGTGCCAGTGAAGACTGCTGCCATGTATACTGATAGTAGCAAAAGATTAAATACGCCGGTCTTGATAGTTCCCCGGTCAAGCTGACCTCTTCTGGCAGCAGAAGATGTAGTCTAAACTGACTAGATTAAACCGCAATCGAGACCATCACTATATACTTAGATTTGCAGTATTAAGAGAGAAATAAAATTCTAGGACATTCGTACTTCTTTCACACATTTACCATTACCCCCTTTTCAACGGTAGAACTCACTTTTGCCACATAATATCATAAAAGTAATTTTCGTTGATAAGTATCACTTTCACTTCAATTTCACTGTGACTGAACAGGTTAATGAGTTAACAAAAAACTGCTGTAAATTCGTGGAAGAAAACACCGAATTTGAAATCGCCTCAATCTATTCTCAGAGATAATTTGAAATCCATATTAATGTTGTCTGAAACATTATGCGTCTGAGTATGTATATGAAAATATACATTATGTATATTTTCAAACATTTATACAGTGTTTGTCCACCCAATTTTTGCCAATTCTCTTCTCTGTGGCAAACAGTTCAACATAGACACAGCTCCCGTCGAGTTGCTGTTGGGAAATAACCTTCATATAAGTCCCGATTTTGTCACGCATCAAAAAGTAATGTAAAGTAGAGACGATTTACCTTGTCTGTAGTTTTTATATACAATATAACCTACTCTTGCGCGACTCTACCATTGTGAGAGCAGTGAAAGAACCCAAATATACAGAAATCCCGAGAACAGTGTATGTAGTAATACGCTTTACTCGGCCTCCCATGTAGTCAACTCCAACATCCCAATGACCCGAGTTCGTCCGAGAAGAAAGATATGATAATTTCACATTTATAAAACCAACCGATTCCTTGGAAGAAAAAGGTTAAGTACCTATGAATCACTTTCGACTACAGAATGTCATTCGCTACACATATTAAAAATATAAGGGACAGAGGCGCGTACATTTCTCTCGGGGAACTTAACTAATCATTCAAGTAAAAAGAACCTTAAGGCACAAACTTTAGTAATACAAGGCATGCGTACTTCCCATTAAGCGTAGGACGATTGAATGTCTTTTGCACACATGAGACCCAAAAACCTAGATACTCTTCAGGAAAATCAAAATAAGTTCATCCGCCTCGCAACAGTTGCTAGGTGGTATCATCACAATATAAGTGACTGCAGACTGCCGACACAACCCGAACATGGCGGTAAACGCAACAAATTACCAACTCGACATAAGCGCTAGCGTTTACAAACTTCGCCTACGCAACATCCTCATCGACAGGTCGAGGAAGGGGATATAGGTACTTCAGGTCCATCGGGAACACAGCTAGATAACACAATACCCACAAATCTTGCTAACACACATAATCAATTAGTTCGTCCTCGTCTCGAGCGCGGTGAAAACAACACAACGAACGCAAGTTAGATCCGCGTTCAGGGCGGTTCTTACCGAGGGTACACATAGAGGATTTATCCCACGGAAAACAAGCGCGGTTCTTACCGGCCCCAGCCGTTAATACAGTCATACATCGGGGTCACGGTACGAATGGTACGTACGTTCGGTACGATCGTACGCACCGTGCCAGTTTCGACGGAAAGTTTCAGCACATGCATGACTGTACCCAACACGGAGAGCCTTATCAAGCTCATGGGTTGTCGCTAATCAACCAGTTCTGAGTTTGTATGTATTTAACCAAGGATATCGCTACCCTGCTCGTAGGTGGTTCACCTAATGTTAAGGGATGACCGCCACACCTTTGACATTTATAGCGCCTGCAGATTCGTTCCTATTGATGTGTGACGTTTAAATAAAGTGGGCCCCGGCTCCCACTCTCACCAGACGAAACGGAGAAATTTTACACTATTTTTATGTAAGTTGGTGGCAAGCGAGCTGGCCCTTGATCTGAAGGTAAGTTACCACCGCTGCACAAATTGGCAATAACCGTAGGGTTGCAGATGCGTTGCCATCTTATAATATAGTGGCCCCAGGCTACCTCACTCACGAGACAAAATGCACGTCACACCGGTCATCTCTGAGGTTGTGGTACTAACCCGAAAGTTTACGTGGTCCTACCATAGTTAAATTAACGTGACATTATTTCAAGAAGTTGTCTCAAGGCAAGGAGATAAATATAAAATAATTTCATTGT